AATATCTCCTTTATTGTTGTTCTTATTTCTGATTTACCTTAGGAAATCTACTGACCTGGAATATTTTCGACTCGCAGACTACTACACCGACTACGACCACGAGCACTCCCGTCTGCACGACCACCGTAGTGACCCCACCCTCTTGCGAGTACAAGTGCGGAAACTGGTGTTCTAACCCTCTTCCGGATTGGAGTGATAACAGTAGCTGCCTAATGGCGGTGTCCAATTGTGAGGTACAGATCGCCAGCTGCTTCGCCGAAGCCGGTTTCCCAGGAGCCCTTGAATGCCTCCAATTTGGCGAATGGTGCCAAAGCGTTGGTCAGTACTGCGGCAGCTCTGGATGCACAAGCGGACAGTCCTGCTCAAAGTCCGGATGCACCAGCAGCAACCCTCCTTCAGGCGGCGGAAAGCCAACAACGATCACCTCGACGTACCCCTGCCCAACCACCACGACCACGACGAAAGCAACGACAACGTCGACGGCCACCTGCATCCCAACCCCAACTGCTATCTGTACTCAACCGTCTGATAGCCAATGGGGCTTCGGTCCCGGAAACCCCGTCGGTGGAATCAACCTCCCTGTCGTAGCTTGCAACAATATCCAGAACGACTGGCAGGGTGGCAACGTATTCAAGCTCTACACAAGCCAGAACAGCAACAACTGCCCCAGCTACCCCCGATCTGGATGCTCCAGTGCTTGCTCAGCCGCTTGCGAGACCCAATATGATCAGTGCATCAACACATACGCTCAGGGTTGCAAATCTCAGCCCTCGCGCTTCGGACTGAGCTATAGCTCAGCGACTCAAGCGTGCAAGGCTCAGTACTCAGAGTGTCTTTCCATAAACAAGAATGTCAATGGTAACGGGCATTGCACTAGCTGGGACCATAACTGTGGTTGTGCTATGCCTTGGTAGACGGGTATCTTGACTGGACTCGCTCCAGAATAGCTACATCAAGTTGGTCGACTTGTTAGGGGAGGAATTAGATGGGCTTTATAGTGACGTGCTTTTAATTCTTAATGCTTGTAATGCCTGGGTTAGAGGACAGAAGTCGTAGCTTCAATTCGATTCGCGTAGCTTATGAATAGATTTGCTGTTAAGCTGTCTCTATGAGCCATTGGGATATAAATTTGATTTCGCTCTTTTATGATAGTGAGAAATGACAATCACACTTCGAGCTCCCTTAAAATGAGTCTTTTCGATGTTAGAACTAGTCGGTGTCGCAGGCTCGATATAACACATAAACTCCATAAATGAAGATCCCAATATTCCTCACTGACGATAATATTGGAGTGCTCACTAATAGACTATGACCAAAAAGGCCATCTATATTCAACAAAATCCGGTATTTCAGAAGCGAAGAAAACTACGATCTTTAACGATCGAGCACTTACTCAAAGTGTGTGGGCACTATTGATAATACAAGTCGTTTGGCACGGACTTGTCCTTCAGATCATAAGTTGCCAATAAGGAATGAATGACTACATATAATTTTCTCGGTGTTGAGAGTGATCAACAGTAATAAAGAATCAAAAAGTCATTCCACATGCATCTCATAATTATCCTAGTATACACCATAAACTGCTGCACTTGGATCCCAGGCAGTTATATCCGAGCGACGTGCCTCTGCCCTCTTTAGATGAAGTAACGAAACCTGGTCCCTTGCCCTAAAAGGGTATAATTCACAAATTGGCTCAGTTTGATGCAGGCACCACCAGTCTATACATATTACTCTTAGGCGTCCCTAATGAGAGATAAAGTTAGCAATCATTCACAGCTTTCGCGACTAAAAAGCAGTAGCAATAAACGCACAATAGAGAAAGCGTAAGATCGCCATGGAGTCTAGCCTTGAGCGTGACCTCGACCTCGATATTCAGATCGAGTCTCAGCTTCAAAGTATCGCTCTTGCCGCCATCTCCCTGCTGTTGTTGTTGCTGTTGCTGCTGCTGCTGTTGGAACTGTTGTTGCTGCATCATTTGCTGCTGCGACTCGGGCGGTGCCGTCATCTGCTGTTGATCTTGCTGCCTTGGTTGTAGAGCCTGTTGCTGCTTATTTCTGCGCGCACGACGGCGGCGGTTGGGTGAGGGAGATGGCGAGACCGAGCTCTCGGTTGAGGAGGCTGCGCTGTCAGCGTAGGCCGCAGGTTCAGCTTGAGCGGCGGACATTTTGTATGTTTATATATATGTATGAGTTGGGTTTCTTATTCAATGATAAGAAGGGCGAGCAGAATGAAAACAATTAGGAAACAGCAGAGGTATAGCAGCAGAATCGGCAGCGAGGTTATCTTGAGGCCTGCGAAAGGTTACAAAATTGGTAGCATTTTACGTCGAAACACACGTCACAAACGAGCCGGTCGGGGGCGAGGACATGAAATACGCAGTAGCAAACCATTCCAGCCGCAAAGATTAGCGCAAGCTTTTGCCCATTTATCGAGAGTGAAAACAAGGCAGAGAGAGTTAGAAACCGGGCTGGTTCACGTCACTACAGTTCTGTCGTGAAACTTGATTTTGAAGATGGCCGATCGCGATGTATCGGGTTTGACGTACTCCATAGGTCATCGTACAGAAGTGGCTGTGGCTAGTGCCACCAGGGTGACGGCTTTGGGCCGGGGGTGCTGTTTATAGCTACCAATCTACTACCCTAGCTCCAGGGACCTAGACCCCTAAATACTCCCTTATCAGCGCTCCTTTTCTTGTTGCTCGCGAATATTTATATTTCACATGATGGTAGTAGAAGCAATGATTATCGCTGATAGTACTTATCACGATTTAAAAGAAAATGTTATGTCTGAGGATGATTAGATTCATACAGAAGTCATCCAACGATTTTGAAGACAGACGCCAAATTTCCTCTATGGATGCTCGTTCATGACTTGTCGCATTGCATCCTCAGGCGCATTGGCATACACACGACCTCCTTTTCCGCTCACGATATGAGTGATCTCGCTACCAGGAGTTCCGGTCAGCCAGACCGTCGTCATATGATGTAACTTCACATCCGGCTTGTTAGGAGCTTCAATGGCATTCTCCAGCTTGACGGGCGCATCACGGAAGTAAGAATATACACCTAGGCCCCAGGCTTCGTGGTGAGAAACAGAGTCCGCTACTTTGTACGAGGCAAAGCCGTTAGGCCCCCCACATGTCCACGACTGCTGGTCCGGGACGTCGTAGGGGATCTCGGACTGGTAAAAATATACCCTGCCGCGGTTGCCATTCCAGAGAGTTTGGTATTCTTTGTGATGCTCGTTGAAAAGGCCGTAGATTGTCACATCATCGCCGTTTACTACTACGCCGTTCCTGGTCGGGTTTGCATCCCATGCTGCTCCCTCACCGTGGTCCGCCCGCCAGAGCCACAATTGGTCTCCAACAACGTGGTGACTATTAATCGTAATACCGATGTCATTCTTACATTTCCCGCCCGTCCGCACGGTCAGGTCGTAGAGAAACGTAGGGTTAGAACTATGATCGGTAGAACTGCCATGAGGACCAATTTCAAGCAGTGTTGGTGACGCCGCCTCGCCAGCATCAATAATTAAGCCAGCAATCGTCACGCCGCTAACATCTGCCACCGAGATCGCAGGAGTTCCGTTCATGGGTATCAGTGACGGCTGGCCCAGGCCAAGGATGATAGTACTGTCTCTGGTGATGGATATTGTGCCTTCGAGCTTATAGATGCCAGGCGTAAGAATGACATGTTTCCCCCCTTTTAAGGCGGCGTTAATGCTGGCTGCGTTCGACTCTTTTGGTAAAGCAATATGGAATTGCTCGATTGCAACTGATATCCCAGGCGTCGCATTGCCGTTGATCCAACTCGGACCGATAGTATCTCTTTGCAATGCAGGCACAAAAACTTCGTATTTGCCGTCGGCAGCAACACACAAAAATGGCTTCTCACGGATAAGCGGAGTTCGTTCAACGGTAGTGTACGGTGGTGATGGGAATCCATCATCCTTTGGCGCATCTTGGTCCCCTACGAAGACCATATTCCAAACTCCATTGGCCCAGCTGCCGTACTTGTTGTTCCGAGACAACCACTGCTGCTGAGACCCGGGCAGCACTGTATTATCCACGACTGAGTCGGCCATGAAGCCACCTGAAGCCCAGCCTCCTGCTCCCGTAGCAGGGTCAACTTGAAAGAGCCATAGGCCGCCGGAGCTTTTGATGTGAAGCCGTCGGAGCGGAGCTGCCTGCGAGACGGCGATCGTAGTAGTATTGTTGGTGGCAGGCGACGCATTGATTGCGAAGTTTTCAAACGTACGCCAGAAGTTGCAGGTCGCATTTCGATTCGGCATCCAGTATGCGGGCACATTCACGCCACCTTCGATGACCACATCATCGGGGCTTCGGCCTAAGCCGGCTACGTGTGTATAGAACCCCACGTCAAAGAGAATGTTATATGTGCCTCGTTTGAAAAGAAAGGCATATCGATCCGGGCCAAATTCATTCGCTTCCATCTGTTTGAAGATAGTCGTCACCCTGTCTTGTATTGCATCCATTGGCATGCTCGTGTCAAATACGTAGACATTGGGGCCAAATACTGTCGTATTAGCACTCGCCATAGAGTTCCGAGTAGTAGACATTGAGAATAGAAAGGGCTTATCAAGAACAGTCGAGAAAGATTGGGAAAGCGTGTGCACGTAAAAAATCTATGCCCTGTTAATCGGGTCATATGGCGTATAAATGTGTTCCGATATTCAGCTGTGACGCTGTGCTGTTCACCGGACAGCCACCAATCAAGTAGATGGAATTTCAGCAAAATTTAAACAAAACCTGTCTTCATAATTCATATTGTACCTATCTACTTGTGCTACAACTTCCGCTATCTCTCAACGCCACGTAAACCCGGAGATGTCCCTGGATCTATCTACCCCGCAACATGATTGATTGTGTGGATTGGCCCAAAATAAGCCCAAGGGAGGGAGGAGAATGAAAATAAGAAACCAACGACAGTCCATCCAATCAATACCAAAACAAAAAAGTCTTTCAAAATGGACAAAAAGGATGCCTCCAGCCCGGATCGAACGAGCGACCTCTGCATAACTCGCGTCCATCGTAGGATACAAGTGCAACGCACTACCACTGTGCTATAGAGGCTTGATGATTAGCGCCTTCCTTAAGTGAAAATATCAGGCATACAAAATCAAGAGGGGAGCTATTTAGTGGGGCCACACAACTGGCTTATCACAGTGGAGTTCTAGCCCAATACATACATTGTGCTTGGACCCGAGAGTGAAGACTGGCACCCGGACAACAATTGCCTGCACCCTTCTTTACACCTCCTCAACATGATAGGGTAGATGTCTACATACAATCAAGAGACACTTGTCTAGGCAGGGCGAGCGATGTCTCAAAGTCACGTTTTCTCGTAAGCCTCCGCAGTGATGCAAACTTGGAACAAAACATTCTGTTTGAGGCAGAGAGCTGATCATCGTGAAGATTATCATTGTATCAAAGTGATAGAATCCAATTCTGAGATTTCAAGTTGGCTCCCCTGTAAAACAAATGGTCATATTCAATGACGTGACAGGGAAAGTCGAGGGTGGTTGGTCATGAGGCCCCGTTAGGACGATGCAAACAAAGACAGTCGCAGCGCTCTCGTTGAAAAGCTGGTCGCACAGATTCTATTTCGAACTTCATGTGGAAATTCGACTGTCAGAAGCCAGTCTCCTTGTTTGCCCAAATATGTGTCTAGACGGGACACGCAGTGAGTAGCACAATGTTTCCGCAAGCGCTTGATATTGTCTATACTGCTATTAGAATACGGCAAGGTTCGGACCGTTGGTTGCTCTCCAACATCAACGGTTCTTTGACACGGCACTGAAATGCGGGACAAAATGGATATGTTGTTATCTCCACACAGCATAAACTGCCTTTGCCAATTTACTAACAGGCGTACTTCTTGTTTACATGAGACGTTGGTTAGATATCTGTTCATTCCTCTGATATGGTTTCTTGTTTTTAAGAGTTGTTGGCTGAGTGCCTCATTGACTCATTTCTTTGACACAGCTACTCGCTCTTGATAGCGTGAGCTGATATATACCAATCACCCAGCCTCGTTTCGCCAACATATTCGATCTTCGACTTCTCCGTATTTCCCAAGCATCTCATCGCCTATTGATAATCAATTGAAAGCATTCAGATCGGAGGACGTCCATCAAACCATGCATCTGTCTAAATTCCTGGTCGTGGCCGGCACATTCATGGCTAATGCCGGTGTCCATGCCGAATTCCGCAATGTGATGTATTACGACGTGTATGTTATCCTGCCGGTCTCTAGTGCATTGATATCTATGCTCACACAGCCTTTTGCCCATTAGACACCCTTATCCTTCAAATAAGACATCTGATCTTGATGACATAACGCATGTCATCACGGCCTTCGTCGACCCAATGAGTTTCTCGTCTAAGGAGTATTCGAAGTTTAAGAATTCATCATTTCCCACTGGCATCCCGACTGTGGAATACTTACGCAACATCTTCCCAAACAATAGCACAAAGATGGGCATCTCTCTTGGCGGTTGGGGGCCGTATTCCTTGAGCTTCAGCACCGTCTCGACCAGTGATCAGCGTGACAACTTTGCTGCTAATCTGGCAGATTGGATGGACAATAACAGCTATGACTTTGTTGGTATGTGTTGATCCCAACTCGAGAATACGCCCTCCCTCCCGTGTGAAAACGTATATGTCCAACTTAACGCCTGTCGTAGACATTGATTGGGAATATCCTGGTGGCGGCGGCGACCCTGAGCCTTCGGACGTGACTGCGAAAGCCGACATCGTGAATTTTGCCCCATTCCTACAGAGTATCAAGTCAAACATCAAGGACAAAAACATCAGCCTTACTTTGGCTGGTACCGAAGTAGGCATGGCGGCTTTCTTTGCCCCGAGAAACGAAACTCACATACAGAACGCATGGGATGTCGTCGAATTCGCGACAATCATGGCTTATGATTTCGTCAATAGAGACAGCTCCTACACAGGGCATCACACTGATATAGCTCACACTTACGATGCAGTTATTCAATACCTTGCTTTTGGCCTGAAACGAGAGCAAATTAATCTCGGGTTCGCTTTCTACGCCAAATGGTTTCAGGTAAGCATCTAGTGCTATGGTCCCCCTGAGGAGGAGATAATTGTGCCCCCGAGACATGGAAAGAATGTGCATGTCTCGGGACACAAGAACCACCTGTCAGAGTAAGTACTGATTCCTAGATCCTCAATAGACGATCCCCGACTGTGCCGAGCCTCTTGATTGCGCCCTCGTGCCTCCAGAGACCCCAAATCGTACGGACACGGGCAAGAGCGGTGTCTTGACGTTTCGAGAAGCTTCTCTGCAGGCAACCATAAACTACTCGCACATGGGACAGCTCCTTAATACCACCAATGGTGTTTGTGGTATCAACGCGAACGGCACGTTAAGTAATTTCAAGTGTTTACCCGGCGATTGCTGTAGTAGTGACGGATGGTGCGGTCATGATGATAGTCATTGCCAAGGCTGCCAACCGGGATTTGGGGATTGCACGGGGCCCAATGTTCCGCTATCATTCCAAAAAGCCCAGAAGAATAGCATCACGGATACTGTCGACGGCGGCGTGTATTACTGGGATAATGCAACAGTAAGCTTGGACAACACGAAAGCTCCGCCTCTCTTCTGGACTTGGGAGACACCAGATATGATGAAGAGGAAGTATGAACAAATCATATTCCCCTTGGGCTTAGGAGGAGTGACTGGCTGGTCTCTGGGAGAGGATGATGTTAGTTTGAACTATACCCGGACTATGAACTGGATGGTAAAAAACGCTACAAGCGCATCGTAAATGGAGAGATTAGAGGAAATAGGCGTCGCAAAATGCTCACGATCATGCCTTGAAAGATTTAACATCCTTGCACAATAAGAGATACCCAAAGAGTGGGTGGTGGGTGAAGATATGGTTTCATAGACTTGGGAATACGATTTTGGCCCTAAGAACCCTAGAAACAACTCCAAAGCATGCGCCAGGCTCCCCACTGATAGACCGGCCGATTCGAGTATCTTTTTCAAGCAGACAAGTCACAACCAGTTATTCCAGGAAACGTACGGTGTCCATGATTGCATGTAGACATTGCGTAAACCATGTTTAAGGGGTGTAATGGAGGGGACAGGCTTGAGCAAGCTTCAGTTTGTAGAGAACAGATTGTGGTAATCACATTGACCGTTTCATGCCATCCAACAATTACCTCTAAATTGGCTGTCGTAGCCTATTTGAGCCCAAATATCGAGTCTTGTGAGCCTCATCCAAGCCAATCAAATGTCAAAGCACCCGAAGGAATGACTAAAAAGAGCCGAATACAGCGCCCGGAACACCGGTTCCATGAGGGATATCTCTCTATGTACAAGTTAAGGGTCGTTCCCAAAAGACAGGTCTCCAGGCGATCCTTCTATAGCCGTTTTGTTTCTGCCGCTTGATTTAACCGTCATTATATATATACAAATCTCAACGGTCTACCGTTATCCTTACACACGGATTGTCTCCTAGGATGTTCCTCCATTACTAGAATATTGTGATGCAGACACTGGCGACATCGTCCTGGCCTCGTGCGAATATCCAACTGAGCTTCCCACAGGCGATACGGCGCTGTGCTGTCGGTTCGAACTGTCGCCTACTCGATCTGAGTATCCAAGGTATCCTTCTGAAGCCGGGAGCTCTACTGGGACCATTTGCGGACCGCTACTCAGCTCAGCAAGCAATGGAACGCTGGCCTTGGCGTCGTCGGTTTTCCTCTCATCGGACCCGTAAGGTGACGTCCCGTACCCTGAGGATGGCTTCCACTCAACGGGCGCGAGCTCGGCGGCTCCGTGATGCACGTTATCGTTTGCGTATTCATTGGGCGGTGAGCCAGGCTCGTCCCTCGTCTTCAGACCCGCTGCTCCGAAACCACCATCGCCGCCGCCGTTTTCCGGCTCACGGCTATGAATCGAGTCCCTTGATCGTCGCCGCCGTTGGTAGAGCATGAGAAACCATACGGCAAGTATAACAGCGATGACACCAAAGCCGATGGCCACGCCTATGCCAATTTTGGCTCCCATGGAGAGGCCGCTGTTGGACCCCGAGGCCGCGGGCGTAGAGGTCGGGGTTGCGGACGGGCTGGTGGTGGCCGTGGCAGCCGATGCTTGTGCCATAAAAGCGGCCTGGGAGACGCTTAAGGTGACGCCTGTCCCTGCACAGTTGCTAGATAAGGTGTCGTAGACACTTGTCAGATCCTTGGGGTCATTCTTCGCGACACAGCTGGCGACATTGTATATAAAATTGTTTTTGTTTTTGCACAAACACTGATTCAAGTCAGCGCCCGTATCCGCCGACTCACAGCCGGCCTGGTCTGCCGAGTTGGTCAAACATTGTTGCGATGCTTGTGGGTATGCCGAAAAGTCGTTGGTAACGGCTAATGAGGAACCTGTTTGGAGGAGCAGGACCAAGAGGAGGGGAGTCGGGAGATAAAAGGGCCGCATGGTGCTGATAGATTCTCGGGCCGCTTAATTCGGCGTTTCGAGGATGTCGGTTCAACAGCTCAAGTCAAGCTGCTACAACGTTGCCTGAATGTTTCGTGTGGTCCAATTCGGTATCGTCAACTACAACAAGTTTCTACTTTCTAGAAAGGGAAGGAGACAATGAAGGTGGTGTGGTATTGTAGTGTTTCATCACAGCAGAAAGAGAGAAGCATAACAACGTGGAAATCCTACATGGTGAACCACTCCCGTACATAAAACGACAGAGCTGGTGAAAATCATGGTGCAGGGATTGGTCGACACACTCAACGCTATCTAGGACATGACAACATTGCCGTATTCTGGCACAGTACAGACCCAACACTGCCATGCGGACAGCCAGCACCATGGATGTTGGTGCGACCCATATGTTGGGCTGTGCTGTTCCGAAGTGTAAGTGTCCGAATCGCGGGACATCCCATTCTTCTCTGTCCATCGTCCAGATGAGGCTAAGACATTTTCAACATCACGCGAATTGAGTTTTCTATTCAACGAGTCTTATTATTCTCAGTCGATCAAGCAGGTAGCTTATTGAGTTATTGCATCCTACTTTGAGAGAAAATACAGAGAC